ATGCCCTTGGACGATCCATCACCGGCACTCATTCTCGATATTCTCTTCGACAATGGGCGGCTGTGCAGTTCAGCTTGTTTCCAGTTCCCTCCACTTCGCGTGCTAGTCGCCCTGCTACTACTATCTGAACCGAGGCTTTGCAGTCAAAGCCTGTTTTGCCACGGCTCCTGCCTGCCCGGCTTGCTTACTCTAAGTGAAAACGTAAAGCTCCAAACCAAAACCCATTGCCTAAACAACCACTTCACTACAACCACCACGACGACCACCACCACCACCGGCAGTTTTAACAAGCAGCAACCTCAGCAACATCACAGTGTCGGTTATTGACAGAAAAGACAGCACCCTGATTCTTGTTCTTCAACCAGGTCGCACGGGCGGCCAGGCGGCTGAAACCCCAGTGTTGAGCCGCTGCGCCGACGAAGGTCTCCTGGACTTTGGGAGCTTCCGCGTAGGGAACTCGAAAGCACAGGAGAAGGCCATGATTGCAGCTGCATACAGAAGAGAGACAAGGACAGCAAAAAAAACTGCCGAGCCAAGAGCGACAGGCTATGACAAGCAGAAAAACTGCTGCACCAACAAACATGAACAAGAGTAGTTTGGGAACATAAGAAGACGAGTCATGATGCGAAAAACAACCAAAACGTCACAATCACATTTAATCATGCCGCAGCGGTACCGGCCGGAGGACTTTTGACGGCACTGTTCCTGGTTCCGGCAGGAACTGCTCAGAAGTTCTTGTCTTGGACACGTGGCACATGGCTGAGACGTAGCGGTGCCAAATGGGACGGTCGAAAGAATAAGTGCGTTTGCAGTGTAAATGTGGTTGCTTGGCCAATCCAAAGCTTTCCCTCGCCACGGATGTCCCGACCCCTGGCTGAAGACCAGATGGGAACAAGACTGCAACCGTTGCTGTTGAAAATCTTCGCAGGACTCCCAGAAAAACTTTAGAGTAAGAGCCGCAAGTGTCCCTGGCCCCTGCCGCCAAGACGACAGGCTATCCAAGACATAGGAACCGGAAATCTGACCGGCCCTGTCGCCTCCGTCATGAGCTCCTTGGATGAAGCTGCAGGGCTGGAACTGCTTCAAGCTTAAGCCGTGAGTGCTTTCGAGAATTCTGTTTGATGGCTTGGAGCCGAAATCGTGCCAAGCTGCGTGCGTGGGTGGGTTGGTGGGAGGGTGGGTGGGTTGGTGGGAGTGTGGGCGTGGACGGATGCATGCATGGACGGGTGGATGGATGCGTGGATAGATGGGTGGATGCATGTATGCATGTGTCTGCGCATGTATGATGTGTGCGCATGCTGTGAGTAAACGTTTGAGCAGTAACCGCAGACCTCCCCAACTCTGCCTCCGGAACCATGCTTGCAAACTATCCAAGATCCTTAGCCCTAGCCGCCCTAGCCGTTGCAGTGCCAGGTGCTCCATCCTGTGCAGACCATTGAATTCCTGACATCAAGCTAGGGCTCCGGGGGAGAGTTTGGGATGGGGATGGACTAGGGCGATACTGTAGGGGCTTAAAGGGCTGAGGGTGTGGGGCCGTAGGCTCCTTGGGCCTTTGGGATTTGCCTGAGGTGTTTGGGGTCGAAGGCCAAGTGGGATATCTTCGGCCCGAGCTCTCTCTGGGGCCAAGGTGCCTGGGGTTGATGCCAAAGCCCGTAAGATCCCGTAAGCCTATAAACTCCCGAGATTCGAAGCCCCAAACTCTACGTCCCTGAACCGATTCTGTGTGTCTTCCCTCTTCTTCATCGTTCCCAACCATAATCCCCACGCCCCGTTCTTGCGGCGATCATTATACTCATGATGATAACAATAGCAATAGTAAAGCAGCAGTAGCCTCGGCAGCAGCCGTGGTGATCGTGATCGTCACATAGTCATGGTCGGAGTGATAGTGATAGTCACCATGATTCAATAGTCATAGGTATCACGATTGCACCAGCGTAACATACTACAGCTCCACAGTTGCCACTGTTCCTGGTATTCTCAGCCCTGCGTTCCGAGATGCTGTCGAACTCCAAGTCGGACTCGTCTCTCCGATCTTGCCTTGGCTTCGGGCTTCCGGGGTGTAGGGTGTCAGGTTCAGGGCTTGGGCGCCTGCACCGACCTTGTAATCTGCCGTCTGATCGCACATCTAGATCCTGGAAGGTTCGGGCAGAGGCCCATGCTCACAATCCCACGGATCTTCTTAGCCACATGCATCCCCCAGCCCAGGCATCGGAGCTACCAGTAGGAGGGAATCTTCAAGACACCGGCTCTTGCTTTTACTGCCTAACTTTTTTCTCGATCGTAGCTGCTTCGGCGCTTTTCGCAACCTCCGATTTAACTGATTGCCCTCACTTCTCTGTTGCATGGTGACTATTTTTTAGATATGCGGTTTTCTAAATACTTATACAGATATTTTATACTACCTTCGTTGACTTCGGGCCCGGGCCGCCAAGCCCATTTTAAATGAGCGGATCCCCCCTCCACCCCCCCCCTTCTCACCCTCTATGCTTTTCATTTGGCCCGACTAGGCACCGGGTGGAGGACGGGTGGAGGGCTGGTGGTGCTGGAGGGGTGGGGTGGATGGGTTGGGTGAGTCACGGAGGTGGAGGTTGGAGGGGCAGGGAGTGGAAAGGTGGAGTATATTTTTTGAAGATACGATTTAAACTGGGCGCGCTCTACTTGTTGACGGAACTTCACCGTAAGCTCTGGTTGTACGAGTGTACGACGGGCGAATGCAGCCAGGCAGCCGCGAAGAGGTTAGGCCTGGGCTGCAAGGCAACGGGTCTCTGCAAACACAGAATCATGGTGAGAATGTGGACCCTGTCTCCTCAAACTGCTGAGCTTGAACAGAGTTACTGATGTGCTTCCCATGGCGTCCCAAACGTGAACAGCACGTCATCATCACATTGACACCGAGGGGCCCAGCTCGTCAAACACCCCCTTCAAACTTCCGTGACTGGCGCTGCCGATGCCGCCCGTGGCCGCCTCCTGCCGTCGACAAGTCTGCAGGTTCCCAGGGCCCCAGTCAGTTTGCGTAGTGCCCAGCCAGGCCCTGATCTTATGCTCGCCTCGTTAAAACGATGCACAAGCATGCCTATGAAGACCTGCGAAATCTGTGGCTGTAGACCATTTCATGAGGCCGAGCAAACGTAACTGGCGGCATCTGCGCAGGCGGAACAGCCACCCTAAAGGCACCTCCACAGAGCTGAAAGGCACCTTGGAATCTTGGAAGGCCGGTCTGCCTCTCTCGCTTCCCTCTCCGTACTTGGCAGGGTGTCATGGTATGGAGAGTCCAAAGAGCCCCTACATTCGCGACATTCAGAGCTTGGGAGACTTTGCGGCCATTCGGGCGCTGTGGTTGTCGTTCATGGACTTTCAAAGCAGAGGAACGATATCTCGTTCATGCGGCGCCCCAGAGCCGCTCAAAACAATGAGTGCCACCCACACCTTCAGGCAAATCCCTCGACCTCTGCTCCACCACTTGTCCAAGCCACGAGTGCATTGCTTGGCCCGGGTAGACCCAGGTTCGCCATCCCTGGAACTGTTGCATCGATAAGTCCACGAGGTTCAGGTTTGGGGCTGCATCCAGAGGCCTCAGGTTTCGACTTCGGGCCGAGGCTATGCTTTTCCACTGTTTATTCGGCTCAAGGTCGTGCTGGTAGGGCCTACTGACCTACTGATCTTCCAACCGCAACCCACCGCACTGCTTTGATTGACTGTCACCTCGATTCCTTGCTGTTGCAGGACATTAATGTACGACTCAACTTTGCCAATGCTTGCGCGAATGCTTTATGACTACTGTCGGATTTGTGGGGGACGAGTTCCGTACTGGAGTTTGTGGGCTATAGTTCCGGTTCCCCATAGCCCCAAAACCCCCCTGTGACTTGCCCTTTGACACGCTCCCGCCTCTCCCGTTAAGGCCAGGCTGCCAGGGAAAATGACAGATGACAGCTAAAGGCCTCCGGTACGACAATCAAGACTCGTCCGTGCGTAGCCTGTGCAAGTGCACACTAACGGCTTTGACTATGTTGCTTTGATGCATGGCTACTCCTCTGCACACTGTGAATCCTCCGGGCTGCGATGCTTCTCAGGGTTCGTGTGGCTCTGAGCTGATTCTGTGATTTTTCTGCTCCAAAACATATGCTCCAGTACTTCGCATACCACATCCTGGGCTCTCCTACGGCGTCCTACGGCTGCAAGCCAAAGGCCGCCCCCCCGGAGGTTTCAAGAAGCGCCTGCAGAGCGGGTTCCGAGGTCCAACCTCCACCGAAACTTAGGAGACCAGGAAGGTGCAGGTAATATAGGATACTTATAATAAGGAACCCCCAAAATAGTATTGGCAACTTAGGCCGCAGAATAACGCGCAGCATCCCCCAGGAATCGTTCAGTGGAACAACCTGAGTCGTGAGGTCGACGTACCCAATGACTTGGCCACCTAGAACTTCACGTGTTTGTATTGACATGGGTTTGTTCTGCCTGGAAGGGTAGAACTTTCAGGCTTTCCCTTTTAATCTGTGTCTGATGGGCGTGGACAAACTGATAGCAGCTGAGAGCATCCCGGTTAGACCTGCACTGTCTGAGTCCGGACCAGTGTATCATCATCTCGTCTGTCTCAAGAGATGGAGCAGAATGAGTGAGTAGAAGCAGGGCGGTAGCACGACTTCCCTCCTACCCAACCACCACTGGCCATAGCACGCAGAATCTTTCAACCCTCATCCGGTAGAAAAATCTACTTCTCTGACCTGTGCCGCCTCTACCACCCCCCAACGAAGTGAAGGCCTGCCTGAAGGGCTGCACCACTTAGCCGCAAAACCTTAAAGCCCAAACCCTAGCCTTAAACCCTAAACCCTAAACCCTAAACCCTAAACCCTAACCTAAACCCTAAACCCTAAACCCTTTTGAACAAACCCTAAACCCGGCGTTAGGCTGTCAGGCGTGCCCAAGGCTCTGGGCCTCGCTAACGGCCCACATGAAGTTTAGGGTTTAGGGTTTAGGGTTTAGGCAGCTCTGAGGCTCCGTGCCGCAGCCTCAGACAGGAGCCGGTCCGGTGGAAAGAGCCTGCTGCATTTGCGAGAAGGGGCCTAAAGGTTTCTCTACATGGATTGAGCGTGGGGAAGACGTATAGCTGAAGCACAAAAATCGATGCACCCACATGCTTATGCAGTAGAAATTCAGTTAGTCCTACATTACCTACATCGGCCACAACAATAACTGCAGCCAACATACCAGCAACTCTGGCTCTGATTGCAATTTCAGTTTTGCTTGCGTATCCTCGGAACTGGCCGGCTTCACGCAATGGCCTGAATCAATTAGTCGATTGCCCAGGCTGCCACTTCCCAGAGGCCGGCTGTCCCAAATCGGAACAAGGAATACTTATTTGCGGGCTTTACCCTAATAGTTTAAACCTGAAGCCCAAAAACAATTCGAGTACGGCTTGAGGTCACAATGATGAAGAGGAGCATCCTGGCCCTTCACGCAAACCGGGCCAGAAGCCACAGAAGCTGAAGACCCTGACTTACGAGCGGCCCAGAAGCTTGAACAAGAAATCCCCCGAGGCGCTCGGGAGGGCCCTACATGCCGCGAAACGCACGGAGATGTGGCGAGTTTCTGAGAGCTGGCCTTTTGAGAAGCTGCTGGCGGCCCTCCATTTAGGGGGGGTGACTTAGAGAATCGAGTAGAGCAAAGGGCCGGGGATTGTGAATGTAAGCTTTTTGAGGTTCTGAGAGCTTAGGCTACGGATGTCTGTATGTGGCTCGAATAAACAAGGGCCTGAGAGCAGGTGAGGCAGGGTGTAGCTTCATGGGAAGTATCAAGCCTGCGAAGATGCACCTGAGCCAGTTGCAGACTCCTTTGACAAAGCTCATACATACATATATATATATATATATATGTATATCAGTTTAAAGGAGTCTTGCATAGAGGCTCATCTGAATTAGGCAGACCTAGCTCGGGTGCACATGTTTGTCACCGCTCCGTCGTCGTCGCGAAATGCCCGGACGGAAGTGAGCGTTTTGAAAACCCCCACATCACAAGCAGCTAGGGTCCAAAGGAGCCGGAGGCCTCCGTCCCCGAGTACGGTTTTGTGGGCCCCTTGACATCCTCAGGATGATTCAGCTTCAGGCCTGGGGACACTAGGGGTTCAGGGTTTAGGCTTAGGGTTTGGAGTGTAGACCCTGTGCTAAAGGGTTTAGGGTTTGGGGCTTACAGTTTAGGGGTTTAGGGGTTAGTTTCACTGAGGTTCTAGTGGAACGACTATCGTTGTCAGCGGTCTTCTTACGATTTGTAACGTACTGTCGCTCTTCTTCTCATCTGCTAGGAACTAGAACCCTGGCGAGTAGCGGCTTCACTTCGAAGGACAGCGGATGTCGGGTTTGGGTAGAAAGTGTCTGCACTTGCAAAACCAGAAACCTGAAGAAAGGATCAAGAAAGGGAACCGCTCAGCCCAGCTATGTCACCCCGTGCTGTAAACATCCCCTCCCTGCGATCGGTGCCCCCAAAACCCTATGTACTCGATAAGCTCGAGTAGCCCGCAGCCCAGACTGCGTGAACGTCACATGGGACGAAGCCCTGCATCGCAGCTCTAAGCCCTAAACCCTAAACCCTAAACCCTAAACTCACTTCCTCGTGATACTCAGGAAGACCCCGAGGCTCCCAAGAAGAAAGCCGCACCTGGGCTGCAGGCTTTTCAGCACTTGGTAGACCTCTCGATTTGTGTGTGTGTGTGTCATCCTTGCGCAGGGGCCATGCTAATAATCTCTGTATCGTTCCAACTTTTATCGGATGATTCAGGAGTTGACGTAGCCGGCCTTCCTGCGGGTTGAGGTTTCGGAGTTCCTGTCGTTGGTAGGGCTTAGAGTCTGCACGCAGGGCTTTCTTGATCCTTGGCTTGAAGGCTTAGGACTGTTTGGGGGAAGCCACAGCACTGACAGCATGAGCAGTGCGATCGTGATGATGGGGATGGTCACCGTTATGCTGAGGAAGACCATGACGTTGATGTTGCCCACTAGGAGAAGGATACCGTGAAACTTATCAGAAGCTGTTTTCTGTTCAGTCCCCAACTCAAGTTCAACCGTCCTCCGTTGATTCATAGTTCTGCGCTCCTTCGGGCAGGCTACTTGCTTCTTGACTTGTTCTGTGCTTCTCATTAGGGGGAGCCGCAGTGTCGGGTGCCTTCGAGACCAGGGCACATCACCAGGACAACTTCCTGCACGGCACGACCCGGGGCCTTGCCGCCGCGCTGTCGGCGAAGGCCCCGGGACATCAATGCCGGGGCCACGAAGACCTCGGGCATGAACCGCAGCTTTGGCTTGGGAAACGGTTCGAGTTTTAGTTTAGAAGACAGTTTAGCTGTCGCTGCAGCATGCTAAGCAGCATGCTGGGAAGGAGGGTTAAACTATGCGGCCTCCTCGACATCAGTCGGGCATACCATGCGAAGCGCAGGCATTCGAAGACATGCGAATTGCTTTGCGGCGATGTGTGCAGCATGTGAATATAAACACTATGCGCATGTGCCAAGGTCCAACGAACGCAGATGGCGGACAAGCAACGCAACCAAAGGAGCAGCATTCGAACACCAACAATCTTTACACCAAACTCGTCGGCTCTGAGCGTATTGACATATCCCAGCTGGCAAAGCCAATCCGAGCAGCAACGACAGCGACCCTCACAGACAAGCATGCGCATGCCGCATGCACACCACGTCTGTCGATTCCCGTGGGACGCAATGTGTTCCTGTGCAAAAAGGAGGTCGACACCCAGAACCCCAAGCGACGACATTGTCGCCCGGATGTTCCACGACTCTGATGAGCACTCGCTAGTTAGAACTCATAACATGGTTCGCTCGCGGTAGAGCCACACAAACCTTCGCACTGACAGGTCTTCACAAGTCCAAATCTCTGCTCGGCGGCAATAAAACTTCCCATAGTCGCACCGGTGACTGCTTGCACCTTCCCCAAATCCTCCGCAAGGCAAGGCTTATTTCGATGCAAGGTAGACCAAGTTTATATAGCATGGTTGTGGTTTCCGTACAGCAGCTTCGGGAAAGAAAACAAAACCAAATCAGTGCAAGTGTGCGCGAAATCTCGAACTGGGAACCCCGAACAGATCTTCATTTGGCTTTGGCCTAGGGATGCACAGGTGTAGGTAACAAGCGGCAAGGGTGTCAACTCGCTTAACGTGGGCTTACAGCATGAATTTGCAGGGATTGGTGAGGGCCAATGCGGCGAAGCAACACAAAACACTGCATGAAGGATCAGTGACCACAGAGCAGGGTCCAAAGGCGTGTAGCCCTGCTGACAATGACATGGCCTATCCCGAACGTTCAAGAAATCCCGAAGAACCATAGGCGGGATATGGTCTTGTTGCGCTGTCAAGGCCCGATCGTCTTACCTTTTTGAAACTTGACATGAAACATGAGATGTCAGCTCTAAGGTGTGCATCTAGACAGGAGGAGCCGCCCATGTCGCGGTTCGGATGCAAGATGTTGTCAGCAGCAAGACTAGCAAGCGTGTGCGGAAGGCCCCTGCAGTCATGAACATCTTGGGAAACCCCGTCGCACTTCGCAAGCAGAGCTACAGGTCATCAGAGCAATTTGTTGGTTCTCAAAACTGACGTGACGGTGGAAGCGCGAGAATAGATTGACTGTGGTGCGCTACGGGCACTCGGAAATCAATTCTTGCCTCAACGCCCCAAACAGTGTTTGCGGCAGGTGGTGCACGATCAATGGTTAAACGCGCTGTTGCGTATAGAAACGAGGGTGTTCGTTCCGGGTCGGTGGCACAAGTCAGCGAATGAGTTCTGAAGCGGGTTAATGAAGCAGGAGCCTTACATCAACTTTTGATTTTTTGTCCTCTGACTACTACGGGCCTCTCAAAGCTTAAAAGCCCTTAAATCCTCCATCCGCAAGGTCTCAACATCATTGGATCCCGAGGCTTGTTGTGAGGAAGCCTGAGCAGGTGCTTTGCTGTGGGTACTGGCAGGATGCAGGTCACGTCGCCTCAAAGAAGAGCAAGAGCATGAAAGAGCAAGGCCGAAGCTTCGCGAATCATTCCACACATCGGAAACTTCGATGTGGACATCCAATGGGTTCGGTTTGAAGCTGCTTCCGCACCAGCTAAGCCGGAGCGGTAGCATTCCATAAGGACTCAGCTAAGCATACAGCAGAACGCAGCTCCAAACTTCAAAAGGCCAGTCAAAGGGACGCCCACATGGACAGCGAAGAAGCCTAGAACGGATAGTTGACAACCCTTTTCCATGCCACGATCGAGGGCCCCTCTGGGTCCCCATTCGACCCTATCCCATAGCAGCTTCAGCTTCTCCTGTGTTGATGAGCAATCTCATAGAAACTGGTGTCTAGACGTGATGATTCCGCGAAATGTGGGGTTGGGAATGTGGGCTGTTATTGGGGGCTTGAGCTTCTAGGGTCTGTCGCCTCCTACTCAAGCATCTAAGCATCTGGCGAGGCTTTTTCGGAAGGCAAGGACGTGCTTCGACTTGTCCGTGACAGTACTAACGAAACCGATGTGCGCAACAGTAGTGTCAATACTGCTTTCGGCATTCAGCTGGATTTAGGAGTGGAGACAGAGGATGTAAACCAATACTGACAAGCACAAGACTAAGATGTAGTTCCTCAGAGAATACTTCTGTAGGCAATGGCCAGCATCTCACCCCTTCTGAAGACTCTACTCTCTACTCGAGCCGATCCATGCGATTCACGGTCAAGCGGAGCCCTTGTTTGCAACATGCCTGCAATACCAAGGCAAGTCCAGTGGTAACCTCAGGTGCAGGTTGGGATGCACGTGTGATGTCATCGGCAACCGTATCCCTGTCATTTTCATGATGTACACATACCTGTGATGATTAACATTGCCGTATTTCCACAGGCGGCTTTAGCCAATTGGGGGTTCTGACTATATAAAGCCTTCGCAGCCTGTCTGTACGGGCGTGCTGTCGAGATGCGCGGCAGGCAGGGGCAGGCAAGACTCAACATGGGCTCATGGGTTCTGAGTGCAGGAGCAATTCAACAGCTAGACTTGACTGGCATCATACCCGTCAGTTCG